GCCACTTGAGCCACAGGCGCCGAGCCTGTTAGATTCTTGTTTCTTGGGTATAATCTTTAAATTTTCTTCCCCCTGCATTACCTGTGAGTTTCCATTTTCTGTTTGTTGTTGTGTAATTTTTTTTTCTGTTAGAGGGATTTCTTCAAATATATGATATTCCTTGGCAGTTCTTATTTGGGTACCAAAAGCTGATTACAACTCTGTCTTCACTCTGGGGACTTTACTGCCAGGTAGATACTCAGCTGGGAGTGAAACGTTTTATTAGGGGACCTCTGAGTTTAGTATCTGGAGTTTTCCTTCCATATCATACCCCTCTTCTCTAAAGGTCATTTGAATTTTCTAGAAAAGACCCTCCAGTCTCTTGCCTGGCAGACCCTGTATTCTTAGGGTCAAGTAGAGAAGAGGGCACAAGTCGTCTATTTCAGGTCTCTTTCTTTAACCTCTGTAGTACCACGTGTTTCCAAATTTGACAACTCAAACTCCTGCTGGGGTGAAAGAAGGACGTATATCCAGCTGCCTGAGGTGGGAAGGAGACTACTCCCTCTAGGACCAGGGACCAGTCCTCCTTTGTGCTCTCTGCCACATGCCCACCTCCCCAGGCACTCACTGCCTCCAGGTCCTGAGCCTTTCTTGGCTGCTAGCCTTTAGTTGGCCATGTCTCAGCTACTTTGGAGGCTCTTGGCATTCAGTTTTCTTATCTGATATTGTAGGATCTGATCTGCTAATGCTTCCTTCCACCTCCATTTTCCAAAACTGCATTGACATGCCTTAATTGCTATTATTTTTTTCTCCTCTTCTCTTTGTACTTATATTGTTATGAAGTGAGATAAGGACCACCGACTCAAATTAGGAGTTCGAAAAGAAGTCTTTTATTAGCCACTGGGCTGTCTCAGCAAAGTCTAAGGCAGACTCAGTGAGAGAGCTTTGAAGGGTCTGACATCGGGGTTTTTATAGTCTGAAAGTTGGCAAAGGAAGCAAAAAGGTGGTCTGAAAGCTGGCAAAAGAAGCAAAAAGCAAGCATGGGGTGACGATGACCCCTTTTACAGAAGTAAACCTTGCAATTTAGCAGATAAGTAACATAAAGCTGAAGCAGATCTTGCAATTAGCGGATAAGTAAAACAATTTGTCACAGAAAAACAATTTGTCATAGCACTTAGCTTGTTAATTCTTATCTTGTTTTCTTCTGGCCCCATCTAAGAGTGATAGTGCCTGGCATCATTTCAGAGTTATGGTATTCTCATTTTTCATCCTACCCAGCCTCCTGGTGTAAGTTGGTGGCCACCGGCATCCATCTTACGGGAGGTGCTATGAGGCTGCCATGAGGCCACTAGCATCCATCTCAATATCTTATTTATTTTTTTTATTTATTTTTATTTATTTATTTTGAGACAGAGTTTCACTATGTCACCCTTGGTAGAGTGCCATGCATCACAGCTCACAGCAACCTCCAACTCCTGGGCTTAAGCGATTCTCTTGCCTCAGCCTCCCAAGTAGCTGGGACTACAGGTGTCTGCCACAACCCTGGCTATTTTGGAGTTGTAGTTGTCATTATTGTTTGGCAGGCCTGGGCTGGGTTCGAACCCACCAGCTGTGGTGTATGTGGCTGGCACCCTAGCCGCTGAGCTATAGGCACCAAGCTAATTTTTATTTTATTTTTATTTTATTTATTTATTTTTCCAGTTTTTGGCCAGGGCTGGGTGTGAACCCACCACCTCTGGTATATGGGGCTGTCACTCTACTTCAGCCACAGGCACTGCCCTTATATTTTATTTTTTGAAACAGAGTCTCACTATGTCACCCTCAATAGACTGCCATGGCATCACAACTCACAGCAACCTGAAACTCTTGGACTTAAGCTATTCTCTTGCCTCAGCCTCCCAAGTAGCTGGACTACAGGTGCCCACCACAACGCCTGGCTATTTTCTTGTTGCAGTTGTCACTGTTGTTGAGCAAGCCCAGGAAGGACTCAAACCTGCCAGCTTTGGTGCATGTGGCTGACGCCATAACCACTGTGCTATAAGCGCCAAGCCATCTTTTTTTTTTTGAGACAGAGTTTCACTCTGTTGCCCTTGGGAGGGTGCAGTGGTGTCACAGCTCACAGCAACGTCAGATTCTTGGGCTTAAGCAATTCTCTTGTCTCAGCCTTCCAAGCAGCTGGGATTACAGGAACCTGCCACAATGCCCAGCTATTTGTTGTTGTTGTTGTTGTCATAGTTGTTATTGTTGTTTAGCTGGCCCCGGGCCAGGTTCGAACCCGCTAGCCCAAATGTATGTGGCCGGTACCCTAGTGCTGAGCTATAGGCACTGAGCCAGAAGTTTATTCTTTTATTTAACCTTTATATATTCTACTGTTTTAAATGTGTCTTTTTAGATAATATATTGATTAAAAAAATATTCAAGATGAGGCAGTGGCTCATGCCTATAATCCTAGCACTCTGGGAAGTTGAGGCAGGTGAATTGCTTGAGCTCAGGAGTTCAAGACTAGCCCGAGCAAGAGTAAGACCCTGTCTTTACCAAAAATAGAAAAACTAGCTGGGCATTGTGGCAAGCACCTATAGTCCCAGCTACTTGGGAAGCAGAAGAAAGATTACTTGAGCCTGGTTGACTGTGGTAAATAACACCAAGGTCTTAAAAAAAAAAAAAGATTACTTGAGCCCAGGAGTTTGAGGTTGCTATAAGCTGAGATGCCATGGCACTCTACTCAGGGCAATAAAGTAAAACTCTGTCTTCCCCCTCTCCCCCAAACCCAAAACATTCAAGATGAGAATCTGAATTTTTTTTTTTTCAGCTTGGTTGGGGCCAGGTTTGAACCCATCACCCTTAGTATATGGAACTGGTGCTCTACCCACTGAGCCACAGGCGCCACCAAAATTTTTTTTTTTTTTTTGAGACAGAGTCTTACTTTGTTACCCTCAGTAGAGTACTATGGCATCAGAGCTCACAGCAACCAAACTCCTGGGCACAAGAGATTCTCTTCCCTCACCCTCCCAAGTAGCTGGGACTACTGGCACCTGCCACAACACCTGGCTGTTTTTTTAGAGACAGGGTCTCACTCTGGCTCAGGCTTGTCTAGAACTCATGAGCTCAAGCAGTCTACCTGCTGTGGCCTCTCAGAGTGCTAAGATTACAGGCCTGAGACACCACTCCTAGCCAGGAATCTGAATTTTGATTGAGGGAGTTTAGTTCATTGTATATTACTCTAATTGCTATTACACCTCTGCCATTTTGTTTGATGCTTTGTACTTATTATGTATTTTCTCTGTTTTTTTTTTCTCCTTTCCTGCCCTTTATTGTGTAGATTGAATTTTCTGCTGGTTTGAAAGTTATACATCATCCTTCATATGGTTATGCCTCTTATTTTACCTTATGACTGTCTCTGTCCTCCCCATGAAGATTAGACCTCATATGGTCCCATGGCATCTCCAGGGCTAAGATTTCAGCACTCAGTGGGAGTTTGATCTGAAGGAACTCTAAAAATGTTCCTGAGGTTTTCTGCACGTTCTGGGGATGGTAGATTCTAAGGCGGAATGAGATGGAGAATGGATGAGTTACTAGAGATGGGAACCCCAGACCTTCTGAAGTTCTTCTTGAGTCTTAGCTGGGACTACAGGTACCCACCATGACACCCAACTGGCTTTTCTATTTTTAATAGAGACAGGGTTCCCAGTCTTGCTCAGGCTGGTCTTGAACTCCTGAGCTTAAGCAATCCACCTGTCTCAACTTCCCAGAGGATTATAGGCGAGAACCACAGTGACTCTGAGACTCCTGTTGGTCACAGCTTTGCTTCTAGCTGCTGTGCCAAAAGTGCCCCCCACCCTGCCTTGTACAATAGGCGGGAACAAGTGAAAGGGGGGGCTCAGTGAGACAGTAGGGGCATGCCCTGTTGAGTAAGAGGCAACCCTTGTTCCATGATCCAAGTTGTTACCAGGTAGGCAGGTGCATTCAGCAGTGCCAGAGCTCTCAGGCTTTCAAAAGAAGCCAGGAAATTAGATTTTCTATCTGAAATCTTCTATTTGTGTATGTTGGCTTAGAAACATTTATAACCTTGTGCAGGCCAAACAGCATGTCTGCAGGCTGGATCTGGCCTGGACATCACTGCCCATGACCACTGCTCTGGCTAGGCCATGATTCTATTGTTGTCACCCTTGACACTTTTTTTCTCCTGGATAAATGTCCTCTCCTGACTCCGTGGTTTCCCTTGAAGATGTGGTTTCCTATACTTCCCTTCCAGCCACTTCCTCTGGGCCTCTTTAGTGTGCCAGCTTGTTAGTTTAAAATCTTGTTTTACAAATGAGGGCCAATCCATCCAGTGCTACTCACTTTCCTGAGTGCTGTTTCCCACAGCCATCTGTTCCATTAAGCAGGTTGACTTACCCCTTGTTTGCATTAGTAATTTGTTTTAAGTGGGTGGTGTGAAGGCAGACCTCATTCTCACCCTGTGAGTGTGGGGCACACAGGCTTTGTTTTCTTGGAGCCTGTCTGTAGCCTGAGCCCCCTTTCGTAGAAGTACATGGAGGGTGTGTGCTTTCTTGCAGGGGCTTGGATGCACACAGGACATGCGTGTGGCCTCCGAGGGCAGGGCTGTGGTGTGGCAAGACCTACAGCCTCCCAAGCAGCCAGCCCTTCCTGCCGCCATGGCCTCCCAGCCCTGTTGCCTTGAGTTCTTTGTCACCCGCTTGCCTCTGCCACCAGGCCTCACTCTGCCTGAGTGGCGGGAGCTTGCTTCTTTATATACACCAGGCAATTGGTGACTTATTCCTCAGCAGCACTTCAGATAGGGAAGTGAAAGGGCCACACCTGGTAGGTCCTGACCTTTGGGTGACAGCGGAAGTAGCTATGCAAACATGGGGCTCACTGCTGGAGGAGAAGTCCTCTCTACAGCCAGGCTGGGAAGAAAGCCCTTGCCTGCCCTGGCTGTCTGTGGCCTCCAGGCCTATCTATGGCTTTGGTAATAGTTTATCCCTTTCTTTCTCTCCCTCTCTACTTTTTCTTGGTGACAGCTGGAAGTAGCAGTGGTCACAACTGAGAGAGCCAAACATTTCTACAGTCCCCAGGACATTCCCGTCACCCTCTACAGTGATGCTGATGAATGGGAGGTCAGTGCTGGCCCCCCCCCCACCACCACCCCCCAGGCTGAGTTCCATTGCATTTCCACCAATAGGACAGTACATTCTTCCCTGCAACCTATGGTCTGGCTGCCAGAGCAGACAGGCTGGGCTTAAGGCAGTGGTCAGGGTCCTCTGGGCAGAGGTGATGAGGAAAACATCTGTCTAGCTTCTGGCCAGCAGGAGGCCCACAGTCCCCTCCCACCCCAGGCAGAGCTGGGCTTTGGCCTGGTGCCTGAGGTTGAATGTCCTTGTACTTATCTGGGCTGATGAAACCACAGAGAAGCTCTGTTCCCACCAGCCTTGTCCACGTGGCTCCCAGCATCAGGGAGTGCCTCTCTTCCCACGGCCGCCGGGCTCTGCTTCTGCTCCCCTGCAGTGGAGTGGGCACTGGCCAATTCACCAGACCCGAGTGTGGACCTCACAGGGGTTCCCTGCCAGGCATTTCTAAACACTCTCAGCCTAGAACATTTCTGGCTGGCCTGTCTTCCCCACCCCACCCCCTCCTTTTTGCACTGCCCTGGAGCCCTTCCACTGGCTTGGACAACCCAAGCATCCGCCTTAAGCAGACAGGCCAGGAGTTCCCTGCCAGATGTCAGTTCTCTTGAAAACCAAACCATAAAGGGAATAGCTCAGAAAGACAAGGGACGTTTGTTTCCTCAGGCCTGGTTTCTCTCAGGCTGCCGGCTCCATGGCCAGTGCTCGCCAGCTTAGCTGCAAGAGGGAGTGGTGGTAGGCTTGGGCAGGGTATAGGTCAGTGGTCCCCCTCATGTTCCTAACTTATGGGACCTGGCCTACTTTGGCCCTCCACACCTTTTCCTCCATGTTGGGAGAGTGACTGGCTCAGTGACACCGTTTCCTCCCCTCTCCCAGATGTGGAAGCACCGCTCTGACCCTGTCCTTCACATTGACCTGCGGAGGTGGGCAGACCTCATGCTGGTAGCTCCTCTTGATGCCAACACTCTGGGGAAGGTGGCCAGCGGCATCTGTGACAACTTGCTTGTGAGTGACTCCCTGGTGCCCTCATCCCTCCCTGGGCCTCATTCCCAGTGTGCTGAGCTGCAGATTTCCTTGTACAAGGAAACCTGCTGTGGGCCCAGGTCGCTCAGAGAGAATACAGACCCCTCGCCTGCCTCCATTTCACTCTTCTCCAGTGAGTGGGCAGAAGACCCGTCCTGATGGGCAACTCCACGTGCTGCTCTCTCTGGGAGTGTCCACCACCTGTCACTTGCCCCTTGCCAGGCACCCTTTGCCTTGTATACATGTGGGCAGTGTGATGAGGGGCTTAACTTCCTCATGGGTCTCTCATGCACAGGTATCTTCCTCATAGCTTTAGCCACAATACCATGATGCAGTTTTCTTGTATATCAGGGGAAGAGAAGAGAAAGATGAGAAGTGAGAGCTGATTGATGGTGGAGAGAAACAAAAGTCCAGCTGTGCAAAGTGGGCCCAATCTTAGGCCTAAGAGGCCTACAGAGAGTTGTTACCCTTAAAGAGGAGCCATCTTTGTTTATATGATCATCCTGGGAAGACTTGTGTGTGATTTCTTCTCTCCTTCCTCTCTCTCCCTTGGTCCCTCCCCCTCCCATTTATTGAGTTTTCACCCACTGTATACTGGGTGGGGGGCCTGTGTGGAGGGCTTCATGGGACAGTCTAAAAGGAGAGGTTTTATATCATCCATGCAGGTGGGCAGGGAATATCCCCTGGTGAGCAGCCCAATCTGTCCTTTGACAGTGCGTTCACTACCTCACCTAGTGCTGGCAAGAGTAGGCATTTGGTAAAGGCTTACTACGTGTCTGAGGTAACTAGCGATTTTACTTTCACAAACGACCAGGACTCTTTCAGAGTTTAATATGATGGAGAAGATGAATAACAAAGCTGAGTCAGGATTTTGGGGGGTCAGATGTAAGATTAATGTCCTTGTAGGCTTGTCAGTGGATTTTTAAGGCAATCATAGAGGAATCTGCTGGTGATTTAAGAGTCATTTGCATACGAGCCAGGCTGAGCAGAAGAGCAGTACACAGCTTGTGTGGCCAGGAGCAGGGGGTGGGAGTGCAGAGAAGGTGGGCCTGGGAGCAGTGCCATCAAGAAGGCTTCTCAGTGAGGCTGCTGCCAGGACTGACCGGGTGGCTGGAGCAAGTTAGGCTCCTGGTCACTTTCATCCAAGTAGGTCAGAGTTGTGTGACCATCACCATCTCCTCAAGTCTCCAGGTATTTGACAGCAGCTGATATGACAAAGCTCTCCAACCTCCAGAGTTAAGCCCTGGCCTGGACTGGCTCTCTGAGATCTCCTTTCTTCCTTCTAAAAGGAAGGAAGTGCTTTTACACTGCTTCCCTTTTTTCTTCAAAGTTGCCATTACTTCATGTAGTCTTTGGGGTCCCCATCTCCATTTGCTTCAAAGGGTTTCATTGAAGGCACAGGTGTTTTCAGGAATCTTGAATCTTAAGACATTTGAACTGTCAGCATCCTTGGTATGTGACTCTCTCTCCTCTCAATAGATGTTTTCTCCTTATATCCCTGAAAGGATGCTTAGCCTGCCTCTTACCTCTACAGATCTTCTCCCTTTCTGATGCCCAGAACTTGGGGTGCCATGAGGGCAGCATGCTACTTGTAGACCTGTGCTCTGGTCCCCAGGCCCTTGGCCTAGGAACTTCCATCTTACTCAGCCCTCTGGCCCACTGAGACCCTAGCTCCTTGCTTGTGCTAAAAAGATAGTCAGATCCAGAAAGAGCAGGTTCCTTCCCTGGGTCACCAGTCTGGGTTCTGACTGGGATCCAGGCCTTCTCCCTGTCTGAGCAGATTCCCAGGGGCAGACCTTGAGGTGCTGAGCACAGCACTGGCCAGACCAAAGTGATTGTGGGAACCGATGCCTTTCTCTCCCCCCTCTTCTTGTCAGTAGGTTCAAAGGAGCTGTGGTTTATCCAGGAAGCTCTGAGCTCAGAGATGAGGTGTCGGGGAAGCCAAATACACTGTGAGGTGGAGGTGTTGGCTTTCTGTCTGGTTGGTGTGTGCTTTGCTTTAAGGATACCTAGAGAACCCAGCCCAACCCTTACCCTTACCCCACACAGTCTAGGGGCTCTTCTAGGTATGCTGTTGAGTTCTGCAGAAGTGGCAGGTGGCACAGGGCCAAGAGGAACTGTGACTGAAACTGTCCACTCATAGCCCGGTTGCCATACTGAGAAGGCTTGGTGGGAAACCAACACTGTCTTGGATGACGCAAGCAGCCAGATCCTGAGCCTGTTTGCTGTCCACTTCCTCCCTGTCCCCAGGAGAGGGTGGGGCCCAAGGGGGGATGGGCATAAGCCTGGCCTGTTGGTGGCATTGTTCTCTGGACTCTCTCACTCTTTTCCCAGGGGAGAGGTGTTCCAGTAACAGCCTGGGAGGAGCGCCCGGAGCAGTCAGAGCTCGGGAGCTTATTTCTCCCCTGGCAGCCATTGGCCACAGAGTCTATCGCCTGTGGTAGGAATAGAAGCCACTGTTCTGGAGCCTGTCCCTTGTGCCAGCTCCGTTCTTAGAGCTTTATAGACATTCTCACCTCAGTCCTCACAGCACACCTTGAGGGGCCTTTGCAGAGAGGAAGCTGAGACCCCAGCATTCAGTAACTTACCCAGGCTCTCACAGCTGGTAACAGATAGCACAGCCAGGATGTGAACTCAGGGCTACATGACCTCAAAGCCCACAGCTCTGAGGACTCTGTGAGTGGGTGGGTCCATTTCATAGCTGCTCAGGTCTGTGACTCAGTGCGATACCCCAGATTCGGGAGTGGTGAGGCATGAGGTGCAGTGGAAGATTACATAGGTCAGGGCGGATGTAATAGCTCATGCCTGTAATTCTGGGAGGCCAAGGCGGGTGGATTGCTTGAGCTCATAAGTTCAAGACCACATTAGCAAGAGCGAGACCCCGTCTCTAAAAATAGCCAGGCATTGTGGTGGGCGCATGTAGTCCCAGTTACTCGTGAGGTTGAGGCAAGAGGGTCACTTGAGCCCAAGAATTTGAGGTTTCTGTAATCTCTGTTGCCACAGCACTCTACAGGGGGTGGGGACAAAGTGAGACTCTATTTCAAAAAAATAAAGATTGCGTTAAGTGGTGTTCATTATCTGGGGGTGACCTCGGATCACTGCTCACTTCTCAAGAAAATGCAGCTTCCCATCAGTGACTGGTACACACCTTCTTCATAGGGTCACAGTATGGGTTCATGAAATAATATGTATGACAAGGTTTTTTTTGTTTGTTTGTTTTGAGATAGAGTCTCACCCTGTCACCCTGGGTAAAATGCCTGTGGCATTATAGCTCACAGCAACCTCAGACTCCTGGGTTTGAGCAATCCTCTTGCCTCAGCCTCCTGTGTGGCTGGGACTATAAGTGCCCACCATAATGCCCAGCTAGTTTTTCTATTTTTAAAAAATTTTTATGTATTTATTTATTTTTCATCACCCTTGGTAGAGTGCTGTGGCATCTTTAGCTCACAGCAACCTCAAACTCTTGGGCTCAAGTGATCTCTTGCCTTAGCCTCCCGAGTGGCTGGGACTGCAGGCACCCACTATAATGCCTGACTATTTTTAGAAACGGGATCTTACTCTTGCTCAGGCTGGTCTAGAACCCGTGAGCTCAGGCAATCCACCAGTCTCGGCCTCCCAGAGTGCTAACAGATTACAGGCATATGAGCCACTGTGCCCAACCTATATGAAAAAGTTTTTGTCACATGTTTTCACTGCCAGGCTTTAGTTGGCCTAGAAATGCAGCCAGTATCGGGTGGACAGACCCAGCCTCATGAGTAGACTGGTTCTTAGTTCTTCGCTTTCTGATGCACTACACAGCGGTTCTCAACCTGTGGGTCATGACCCACAGGAACTGTATTAAAGGACTGCGGCATTAGGAAGTTTGAGGACCATTGCAGTACAAAGTCTGCCTTCTGCTCCTCAGGGTGGTCTCTCTCTGAGAGGTGTGAGCCCATGTGGAGAAGACAGGGAGACCTTTCCACATGGGAGGGGAGACTTGCTAAAGGTGTCCAGGCCATTGTGAGCATTGGTTAAGCACCTCCTGTGTGCTCAAGGTCAGTTATTTGTGCCAGAGCCTGCGAGGAGGTAGAGAAGGATGAGGAGACACAGCTCTAGGGACATGAGACCGCTCCTGACAGATAGGCTGCATGGTCATCCCAAGCACATAACTGGGATGGCTGCAGGCCTGGAGGGCTGGGGAAGGGTGGCAGCTAGAGCAGCAGGACACCCCTTTCTCCCTGCCCTTCTTCACAGACCTGTGTCATCCGGGCCTGGGACCGTAGCAAGCCCCTGTTCTTCTGCCCAGCGATGAACACCGCCATGTGGGAGCACCCTATCACCGTGCAGCAGGTGGGCCAGCTCAAGGCCTTTGGCTACACTGAGATCCCCTGCGTGGCCAAGAAGCTGGTGTGTGGAGATGAAGGTGGGCATCTTGCCAGGCTCACAGCCCAGGGTCTCAGAAGGGGCTCAGCTTTGGGGTCACATTTGGGTTCAGTTCCCAGCCTGTTGTGACTTCAGCAAACTACTCTTTTCTGAGCTCAGCTTTTTCACCTGGAAAATGGGAATCACGGTTCCCATTAAAATGGGATAGTACGTGTAAAGTGCCCAATGGATTCCCTGGCACACAGCATACACGCTGCTGCTGATGGCTGCTGGAATGATTCCCAGGGTCTGACCTGGGGGCTGGGGAGGGATTTCATGGGTCTGGCTCAGGCAGAGAGGTACCGAGCCTTCTGAGGTCTTGGGTTCTGGGTGGAGCTCTCAGGAGCACTGGGTGGAGATGTACAGGGCTGCACGCACAGTTGTCCCGCCTGGTCATAGCAGAACTTTGCTCCCAGGTCTGGGAGCCATGGCAGAGGTGGAGACCATTGTAGAAAAAGTGAAAGAAGTCCTCTCCCAGCAAGTTGGCTTCAAGCACAGTTGAACTGGTATTTCTGTCATGTGTGTCCTTCTGCACTCAACATGGGTTCAGACCAACCTGGTGAAGAATACAGACATTGGCAAAATTTGGTGAGGATTTGCTGACCCTCCCCAGGGGCTGGACCTGCTCCAGGTTAAACAGGACCAAAGGCCCAGATCTCAGCTTCTTTCAACCAGAAGATGCCACTATATGGAGCCCCTACCCCCTCTTTTTTTTTTTTGCAGTTTTTAGCCGAGGCCAGGTTTAAACCCACCACCTCTGGTATTTGGGACAGGTGCCCTACTCCTTTGAGCCACAGGTACTGCCCCCTACCCTCCTTTTTGTGGAGTGGGTGCAGCAAACCAGGCAAGCAAGCTGCCATGTTGTCCTCACAGGAGGACTGAGTGGTAGGAAAACCTCAGTTCTGTGATTGCCTGGAAGCACCACAGCTGGACAGCCCTGGCTGAGCTGTGGGAGCTTTGGTTTCTTGGTGGGATACTCAGCTGCCACACAGAGTCAGAGAAGCCTGCGAATTCTCAGGACTCTGCAGTTCCCCATAGACCATGCCATGAAATTGGAGGTGCTGGGGAATAAAAAAAAAAAAAGGCCATTTAGGAGGCTCCATCCTTTTACAGCCTGTCTGTGGTCTCCAAAATCAGGAGGTGTTGCTAGGTGAGGCTGGGGAAGGGTCCAGGCTGACGACTGACCAACACTCCTTAGTCCCCACAGAACATGGTAGTGAAGGGTAAAGCCATAAAACCCTAAAGTCGGGCATAGCACCTGTAGCTCAGTGGTTAGGGCACCAGCCACATGCACCGAGGGTGGCAGGTTCAAACCTGGCCCAGGCCTGCTAAACAACAATGACAACTACAACAAAAAAACATTAGGTGTTGTGGCAAGCACCTGTAGTCCCAGCAACTTGGGAGGCGAGGCAAGAGAATTGCTTAAGCCCGTAAGGTTGAGGTTGCTGTGAGCTGTGACACCATGGCAGGCTATCAAGGGTTACATAGTAAAACTTTGTCTCAAAAAAAAAAAAAAAAGCCCCTCATTCAAATCCCAGCTCTGCCTCTTACTAGCAGTGGGACCTTTACCCTGGACTTAGCCTTGCTGATCCTCACTTTCTTCATGTATGTTATCCTACCCTCATGAAGTTGTTAAGGGGATTCAGTGAGATTATGTGTGTGAAAAATACCCTCTCTATCAACTGCCTGGAACATAGTAAATGCCCAATAATGGAGTTAAAGCTAGACATGTATATATGCCTGGGAACATTCATCACATTTACTGAATAAAACAGCCTGTCTCATTTTGGGAAGAATGGAATCTTGGACCCTAAGCTGGCACGGACTTTAATGCAAGTGACAGGTAAGCAGCAAGCAGGGTTGAGCCTGTTCTGGGTCCTAGGCCCCTTGCTTGCTTCCTGGATATCTTTTCAGCTTTGCAGCATCTGAGGGGGTCAGGCGATCCTGCAATACACTCAAAAAGGGAAAGGAGATTCAGAGAGACCATGCACTCTGGCCTAGAAACCTTCTGCTGCCCCATGTTTGACCTATTTGCTATTTGGCTACAGAGGGGAGGAGTTGCTTGTCTATTTGGAGCAGAGGTTGGGGCTGGCTTCCTCTCCTCTTGGCTTCCAGGCCATGCATGGGGGGGTACCCATGCATGCCCTGAGAGTAAAGGTAATCCAGAGGGGACCAGGAAGCCTCTCGGCCAGAACCAAGGCTCTAGCAGCCTCTAAGAGCCGTTATCTCTATATCACTTGACTTAGTTGCCCTTTGAGATAAAATTGCCTTAAGGCACTAAAGAAAATACAAGGTAAATGGTAGCCTCAGAAGCAATCCCTGTGGCTGGTTTGGGGGTCAGGGCAATGGGGAGAATCTAGAGAATTGAAATCCAGAGACAACTCCAAGTTCCACTTAGGTGGTTTTCAACTTCTGTCCTCATCACTCTTTTTTTCCCTCAGCAACCTGCTGATAAGTGATAAGGCTTCCCAATTTTAACTGAAGCTGCTACCATTTACTGAGTGCCTGTTGTATACAGGGCTCTGTGTTGGGCACTTTAGGGAAGACAGTTGCCCAGGGAGACCATCCACAAAATGCCTGTGTGGAAAGACCATAGGAGACAAGAAGAGGGTATAGGTCCTCATTGCACAGCTCTGAAAACAGCTGTGGCTACTCAGCTGGATGAGCCTTGTTAACTAGAAGGAAAGAGATACCCCTGTGGACTCAGGCCAGCTGGCGGCCCCATCTCTGAGGGCCTGTCACTCCATTTCCCACCCTTGGCAGTTCTGCAACTCTGCCCATTGTGAGTGGGGATCTGGATGAATGGGCATGAGCTAGGCCTGAAGACGCTTCCTGTGCCCTGAGCTAGATTGGAGCTAAGAGGAGTGGGCAGCTGTGTTTATCTGGCCCCTCTGTCAGCAGGGTGCTGTCAGGAGTCCTAATAGTCCCCACTAAGGGTCCTAGTTCTTAAAGTTATCATCCAGGTAGAAATGTTTCTCAGAGAGGATGCTAACTTCCCTGATGATTTTTATAGAATTCTGAAAGTTAGAATAGAATATTTAGGGGTAGACACAGTGGCTCACGCCTCTAATCCTAGCACTATGGGAGGCTGAGGCAGGAGGATGTCTTGAGCTCAGAAGTTCAAGATCAGTCTGAGCAAGAACAAGACCCTGTCTCTACAAAAACAGACAAATCAGCTGCGTTTGGTGGTGGGCACCTGTAGTCTCAGCTACTTACTTGAGAGGCTGAAGCAGGAGGATCATTTGAGCGCAGGAGTTTGAGGTTGCAGCGAGCTATGATGGAACCACTGCACTCTAGCTGGGAGACTCTATCTCAAAAAAGTCACCAAAACTCAAAAAACATTTAGGTCTGAAATTCCCGCTCCTGTTTGGTCACTTGTAGCCCTTCAAAGCTGCTGTGGCTGCTGAGAGGCAGAAGCCTCCAAGTCAGGAGCCCATCTCTACCTGGGGCTGTCTCTGGCTCTTTCTTTGTTCTGCTGGTCCCCCCCCCCAACCTCTTTCTCATACTCTGACTCCTGGGCAGTATACCCCAGGCCTCAGTGGTCTGGTCTGGCCTCTGCCTCCCCTGTAGACTTGCCCTTTACTCCATGCCAACCCTGCAGGGTCCCCCATCCTCTTTCCAGACTGAACAGTCTTGAGCAAACCATCTTGCTTCTTGCCTCTGGCCTTTGCACATGTTGCTGTTTTTAGAAGGATATTGTTTACCAGGCTGATTCCTACACATGCTTCTGGATGTACCTGGGTGCTGCTTCCTTTAGAAAGCCTTTCCTGGGCTCAGCCCCCGTGGTAGCACAGTGGTTATGGTGTCCGCCACATACACTAAGGGTGGCAGGTTCAAACCCGGCCCAGGCCAGCTAAACAATGACAACTGCAACAAAAAAATAGCCAGGCGTTGTGGTGGGTGCATGTAATCCCAGCTACTTGGGAGGCTGAGGCAAGAGAATCTCTTAGGCCCAAGACTTGGAGGTTGCTATGAGCTGTGACACTATGGTACTGTACTGAGAGAGATACAGTGAGACTCTGTCTCAAAAAAAAAACAAAAAAAAAAAAAAACGTCTTTTCTGGCTGATTCAGACTGGGCTGTGTAGTCCTTGCCCAGGTCCCCATCCTGCCCCCTGTTATTTATTATAGGAGAATTACAGTTGTCATTTGATTCCTTGTCTCCCCCAAACCGGGAGTTCTTGGAGAGCAGGAGCTGTCCTGTTACTTACAGAACTCAGCAAGACAGTCTAAGCTTGTACTGACAAAAAAAGTGTGTGTGTGTGTGTGTATGTGTTAAGATGGGTCCTGTTCCTTTTTGTGCAAGACACAAAACATAGGAGCCATAAAAGCAAAGACCGTTACATTTGACTACAGAAAAATAAATACTTCCCCTGAGGAATATCCCAAAGGTAAGTTCAAAAGAAATAACACACTGGGGAAATTTTCTACAGCTCACATAACAAACTCTCCTAATACATATAAAGAGCTGCTATGAATTGATTAGAACAATACCAAGAACACACATACACACAAAAGTACACAGAGGATAAAAAGTTCACATTAAACACACACACAAAAGCAAAGAACCAACAGCACAAAAGGCCCTTAAATATAAGTAGCTACTCAACCACCTTCATGAGGAGAGTGGTACAAATCAAGCAACACTGAGATGAAAGTCTTTGCCTGTTGACAAGGGTGTGGAGAACTGGCACCCTCATACATTGCCGGTAGAAGTGTATATTGATGCAACTTCTTTGGAGAACAATCTAGCAGATTCTATCAAAATTACATATATACCTTACCCTTTGACCCAGCAATTCTTCTAGAGATTTGTCCCACAGATATACTCATGTATGTGACGTCATGTCTGAACAAGCTATATTCTGAAACACCACCATTATCTAACAGCCCGAGACTGGGTAAATGAATTAGGATTCATTCATACGCTGGAACACTACACAGCCTTAAAACAGTGCCCTGGAAGCTCTCAATGTGTGAATTTAGGAAGATTTCTAAGCTATATTGTGAAAAAGAAAAAACAAGGTGCAGAACAGTGCATGGCATGCTAGTTTGTGTATAAAAAATAGGAGTGAGGGCTTGGTACCTGTAGCTCAGTGGTTAGGGCACTGGCCACATACACTGGCGATGGTGGGTTCAAACCCAGCCTGGGCCTGCTCAACAACAATGACAACTACAACAAAAAACTAGCTGGGCGTTGTGGTAGGCACCTGTAGTCCCAGCTGCTTGGGAGGCTGAGGCAAGAGAATCAAGCCCAAGAGTTTGAGGTTGCTGTGAGCTGTGACACTACAGCACTCTACCCAGGGTGACAGTTTGAGGCTCTGTCTCAAAAAAAAAAGAAAAAAGGTGTGAGGCAAACTTCATTTTTAAATATTGAACCAGATGAGCATATTGTCAACCACAAAATAAATCAATATGCTTTTTTTTTTTTTTTTAAGATTAGAGTTCTTGGGCGGCGCCTGTGGCTCACAGGAGTGGGGTGCCAACCCCATATGCTGGAGGTGGCAGGTTCAAACCCAGCCTGCCAAAAACCACACACACACAAAAAAGTTGTATTCTGAGTGGCACCTGTGGCTCAAAGGAGTAGGGCGCCAGCCCCGTATACCAGAGGTGGAGGGTTCAAACCCAGCCCCAGCCAAAAACCGCAAAAAAAAAAAAAAGTTGTATTCTGTCACCCTGGCTAGAGTCCAGTGGTA